CCATGGGATTGACTTTGCATGGTTATGTATGCATCTATAGCAGAGGAGGGGTTACGCTAATCCGGGGGGCTATGCACGCAGGACAAATGTACTTTAGATTAGTGGATAGAGCCCATTCAGACTTGGGGAGGGAGAAGCAGCACAAGGAACCAATCAGCTTTACTACAGTATAAGAACATGCTGATAGGAGGAGGGAGCAGAGGGACAGAGGCATGAGCTCATCAGTCTGGTCCTCTCAATGTCCAATTACAGACTGAGGAATGGACAAGAGTTGCAAGTGCTACTGAACTTCAGCAGAGAAAAAACAGTTCTGTTGCCTAGACACAGTGTGGCAGGGCTGTGTAAATATCAGAACTAGATGGACAGAAATTTTAATCCTTTGGCAGCTAATACCATAAAATTAATACATTTAATGGGCTTTTACACAGCATACTAAACAGGTTTCCTTTCCTTTAACCACCTCCCGCCCACCATATAGTAATATGACAGACGCAAGGTGGTTATCTCGTTCTGGGAGGACGTCATATGACATCCTCCCATTCTCACCGTGCATGCGTGGCTCAGGGAGCGCACAGCGCGGTGATCAGTGGTGCGCTGTGTTCCTCGGACACAATGGATCACCGATCATGGAGAGAGCCAAAGATTTCGGCTTGGTCATGTGATCAGCTGCATCCAATCACAGCTGATCACATGTAAACAGGGAAATGCTGATTATCGGCACTTCTCGCCTCTCAAGCTGTCACACTGCTATTATTTTGAACACAACTGTATATGAGATCATTTAGGTCTTTGAGCACATATTCAGCGCAAGGGTTTTGTCACTGGTTGTGTTCTAAGATATAACCCTCCCTTGCTCTATCCAAAAAAACTTTTTCCTTTAGTTCTACTTTACGACTCCTGTTCAGGTTTCAGTTGCTGGCTGTTCCCCATTCAGATCTCCCTTCATTTCCTGTCCCAAAAACACAACAGGAGGAAAAAGGAAATCTCTCCAAAGTAGAGAAAATCCAATCTTAGGGCTCATTCATGTGACCAGGGGTGGTAAAAAAAAAAATCAGGAAACTGAGCCATGGTTTTACCATCCCCCGACTGTCCACCCAAATAAGGGCATGCAGCCCCTCAGGGCTGCACACATGCTGCAGCTGCAGTACTTTGAGGCCAAAATGTTACTGCTTGCTGCTTTCAGCAGGTGGTACAGCCATGAATGCAACCCAATTGGGGCTGCTCTGCAACCGCACGCAACACTTGGTTGTGACCCGCTGGTTCAGGCTTTTTAGCATTAAAACAGCCAGTGAGAAGGCAACATAACACCTCCTCACAACCTGTCAAAGGCCGCCTGAACAGCTATGCAGCACAGACCACTTTTCAGAGGGGAGGTAAAGGCTACCTTTGTCACCAGAACATGTGTCCCCATTGGAAGGTTTTTCCTCGATTACTTACAGTGACAACTCAAAATGATAGATTTTCCCATTACTTTTAGTCCTAGTAATATTTGCCAAATACAGTAATCTTCCCATTCTCTACTTTATCCCCCCAAAAATGTTGACGTGATATATACTAAAAATGTTAGGCCAGAACAACAAGCACCCAGTTTATTGCAGTTTCTTTTGACTGGAAGAGCTCATTCTCACCAGGACGCATGTTAAAACACGTGTGTGCGGCTGTGCGTTGTGCAGGGGCGGTGTGATGCTTTGTTACAACACATCACACTTTACTTTTTTTTATATTGATGCTGTACAAAATGACACTTCATTCAGATCTATGTATCACAGTACATTACAACCTGCTGAGTAAAAATGCAGACATGCAGGTGACATATTGTTTTATTCTTTGTCTATATAAAGCATTGCAGGTAAAACTGTGCATATTGTTTTATTCTTTGTCTATATAAAGCATTGCAGGTAAAACTGTGCACTTCAAGACTGTGGAAAAGTTCACTGAAGACGAATGTCCCAGAAGCCAGGCAATCCCTTTAGACGTGTATGGTAAACCAGAGATACAGCGCTGGAGAACAGCGTATGATGAGGCGTACAATGTGGACAACCAGGTCAGTCTAGTAGATCTAAGCTGGAACTGAATGACAGTTCATTCATTTAAAAAACAGTGACACATTTACAGCACCCAGCAAAGTGCAGGACTCTGAAGCAAGTAAAGCACCATTAATTCAAAGGAAAAAAAATGGAGGAAAGTGGAGAAAAGGGGGGGAAAAAAAAAAGGAAAGGGGGGAAGAAAAGGAAAGGTAGAAAAAAGGGAAAGGGGAACAAAAGTAGAAAAAGGCAGAAAAAGTAGAAAAAAAAAGGGGGGGGGGGGGGGGGGGGGGGGTGGGGGGGGAATGAAAGTAGATTCCTTTAAAAGAAAGGCCTGGGTTGTTTCTTGGATACGCAGAATAGAACTGGTTACCATTTATAGGAAAAGTTGATCCAGGGAATATCCGATTGCCTCTCGGGGGATCAGGAAGGAATATTTCCCTGTAGGAGCAAATTGGATCATGCTTTGCTGGGTTTTTTTTGCCTTCCTCTGGATCAACTGTGGGTATAGGATTATAACTTTTTTTTTATGGTTGAACTGGATGGACTTTTGTCTTTTTCAGCCAGACTAACTATGTACCTATACCCACAACCAGCCTGCGGGCTAGTGTGAACCTAGCCTAAAGCCTGGAAGCCGATTTGTTTCTTTGCAGAGCTGCACCAGATTTTTGCACTCTCTAGTTTTCATAAATAACCCCCTAGGTGCATTGGTATGGACACTTGTCATATGCACCCCTGGGTGAGACAAAAGTGACAGCATAGGACATTTTGGAGACAATCATCACCACATAAAGTGCTTGAATGAGACCTTCATGGCAGGATCACCAGGTATTGTAATGAAAGCAGCAGATTTAAAAATATTTTAAAACCGTTTAGAATTACATCATCATATAAAGACTTGTAAGGGTAGGGGAATATAGTAATTGGGTTTTTATGTTAAAGGCAAACGCCGCCAAAGAGATCAGTGAATGAATTTCTGACAAGTCTCGTGTGCCACAGGATGAAGTTGTAGTTCTCAGAACACAAGTATAGGGATCACCACACTTGTAGTTCATGGACACTTCCTCCAGCTCTCCAACTAAAAGACTATACCTCAATACAGACAGAGCTGGAGGAAGTCTGCAGGAGCATGGCATTACACTCTCTATGTGCCGATACTGGTGCAATACATTGCAGGCTGTTTATAAAAAAAAAAAAGAAATAAAAAAGGCACTTTTTCTGCAATTGTGGATGTATGTGTACATACACTCACCAGTCACTTTATTAGGTACACCTTGCGAGTGCCAAGCAAATATCCCCCACACCATTACACCATCCTGAACCATTATACCAAATTATGAACCTACCATCCCAATGTTGCAGCTAAAATTGAATGTCCATTCTCCGACATCAAAAAGGCATTTTGTCCACATAACTGCAGCTCACTGGATATTTTCTCTTTTTTTAACCATTCTCTGTAAACCCTAAAAAATGATTGTGGATGAAATTCCCACCAGATCAGCAGTTTTATTGAATTAAAAGATGGTACACTCATATGTAAAATTCTTGACAAACAGCTCTTGTGCAGATCGCAACATAGAAACAATTCCAAGGGTATGAAGTAGATGATCATTTATTATCATTTTTCACTCTAAATGATCATCTACATCATACCCTTGGAATTGCTTCTATGTTGCCATCTGCACCAGAGCGGTTTGTCAAGGGTTTACACTGTATGGAGATCCACGAGGCAGTGTCTGCGGTCAAACTCACTCCTTAGTTATACTGGCTGAGGGATTCTGAATGGTTATCTACTTCACACACTTGGAATTGCTTCTATGTTGCAATCTGCACCAGAGCTGTTTGTCAAGTATTTTACTAGTACTAGAGTGTACTATTTTTTAATTGTTCAATAAAACTACATGTATTGCTGACGGAGATCCTGAGCTGCTGTTCTTGTTTTTTCAGGCTGTGAAGGGGGAACTTGCTGAGAGGCTGAACCAGGTGTCACTCCAGACTCTGGGGTGGATCCAGTATTTGATGTTGGGATCTTTCCCCAGCCTGGACGGGCTGAGTGACATCAGCCAAGAGCAGGCTTCAGCTGTTGGCTGAAAAGGGGTCACAGGGGTGCAGAATGAACTGCACTCCTGTGAGCCACAGGAGGAGTACAGCCAAAAGAGCTTTTGCTGTACTTCTTTAAAGTCTCTATAAAGCTGTTAATTTTTATAAATTCCTGAATTGAGTAGTGAAGAGTTAAGCTGACCATAGATGGATTGTGTTTTTTTGTGTGGTAAAAAAAAAAAAAAAAAAAAATAAAAAGGAGGACTGCTCAATAAAGGAGGACTGCTCAATCCACACAAGTGATGTGGGATGGAAGAATCCTCCCCGCTGAAACATTGTATTCGGACAGGGGAACTCTCCGCTGTCAGAATACACTGATCAGCAGCTGAAGCTGCTTTCCAAAATTCCATTTGACAGAAGTAAATGTGTCCTTGTGACCACATGCTTGTATGAGTGAGAACAGTTAATTGAAAAGTTTCCAGCTGCAGCAGAAGTTATTTTCATTCTGTCATTTTTTATTTTTTTTTTTTTAAATACTAGTTGTTGGGTAGATTATGACCACTCATAGTGGGACTATAAATGAATCTGAACATTTTGTCCTTATTTACCATAACAAACAAGTGAAATCTGTTGATTCTGACAACGTAATACATATGTATTGCACAAAGAGCACCAAATCTACCAGGACCTAAAAGAAAAAAAAAAAGAAAAAAAAAAAAACAATTTTCAGGTCTAGTGCTTCTTTACAGTATTACATCCAGAGTTTTATTTCAAACCGATTTTTATTTAGATGGCTGTACATCACAAATTTTCACCAAAGTGGGAAACCATTCACACAGCAGGTCCAGAACATGTAGCAGCGTACACTAGTCACTACAGTCACTGACGATGGCGGTGCTTTGTCTTGAAATCAGTGACAAGGAAATTGATGGAAGTTTAGAACAGCTCAATCATAGACTCTCGAGACTTTCCAACTCCAACCCATTTCACTGCATTGAGAAGAGAGACATTAGCTGCATCCCGCAAATGCGATAAAAGGTACATAATAAACATGAAAATTCTGAACTTGACTATAAAGACTTCTAATTATCAACTTTCACTGTGGTATGTTTCCTCACTACCTTGCTAGCTGAATACAATTAGTCCCTAGTATCTTTATTTCCTGAATGGCCAGATTCATCAATGGCAAATATTATAATTGACTGGTAAAAAGTTTCTTGTAGCAACCCTATACTGACAGGAGAGGGCGCTGCGTCATTGTAATTGGCTGTGACAGTAAATCACACTTCAGATGTTTTTGAAATGACTGCTGAATAAAAAAAAATATATAAATGTATTTATTTTTTCCAAAAGAGGGCGGCACTCATGGGTCTTGAGAGGTGAATACACAATGAAGATTTTATTTTAAACACATGTACCCTTATTTAATGCCTGGCTTCTTCCTTTGTGTTTTTTTTGTATGGACTTTTCTTCTTGCTCTGTTCTCCTAAATTTGGACATTTGCCCATATTGTTTTTAGCTGGACCTTTGACATTTGCAGGTGTTATCACATGTGGATGGTAATGATGGGAGGGGTTTTATGGTATATGTGTTGTGTCACTTGTTTGCTGTCCTGAGGAAGACGAGCTTGTGCCTCATCGAAATAAAATCTTCACTGTGGACTATATGTACTACAGACTTTGCTGCATACCCAGGCCCATTTTTTTTAATCTATTTTTGATGTGTGTAGTGTCAACCACTGGAAGTATTATGTAAAATAAAAAAAAAAATAAAATATTATCTATCTATATATATTTTTTTTATTATTAATATTATGTGCTCCCATCTGAACACATGCATGCATTGTCTTTTGGAGGTTTTATGGATATATAGATAGCTCTCTCTATGTTTGGATTATATTTTCCCTATTTAAAAAAAAAAAAAGTTATATTTCTAGTTAGAATATATGAAATAATTCACGTTTTCCTCTTTTTATATCCAGACAGTAGGTAGCACTACAGGTTCTCCTTTCACATATTTTCGGGTTAGACCTAAGTCACTCGACTGACAGAAAAACCTGTGTACAGAGCTGAATAGCTCAAGGTAAATTTACCCCCAAATTCGTGAGAAGTGACTTATCCCCACTCTGTACAGAGGGGACCATATAGCTTCTCACACACTTTAAAACCTTCTTGAAGTATTCATTTCCTAATCGACTTTAGTCATATGACATATATTATACCAAAAAGAATAAAAGCACTCACCAGGCACTCCGACTTGATTCTCCACAAATCTGACATAATTTTGAGCATTGACGGGAAGCTCTTCCCATTTTCTGGCACTTGTGGTGTCGCTCTTCCAGCCTGGCATTACCTCATACTCTACTTCTACCTGCTGCAAAATTTCTTGATTTGCTAAAAAAAAAAAAGTCACAAGCTTACATACTATAAAAGTAAATAAGGACTACTGAATAGCTGCAAGAAATGTCATCATATAGAATGGTGGTATGCAACATGTTCTCAACTCCTGACACCATACTGGATTACATTTCTTTAGATTTTCTTGCTCTGCGAGGTAGGCAAAGGGATTAACCGCTTTCCTGCTGCCCTATAGTAGAACTACCGCGGCAGGCCAGGGCGGCGCAAAATCACATTTATATATATGCGATTTGTATTTTCGGGTAGGAGGCGCATGCATTCCGCCGTACCCGTGCTGCCATTGGCAGCTAGGGATGTCAATCACCGGGTCCCAGCCAGAGATTCCCTGCCTGGAATTCAGCGATCGTCGGGGAAAGCTGACAGGGGTGAGACCTGTGTGTAAACACCACAGGTCTTTCTCCAGACAGCAAGGACATGCTGCTTTGTATTGCTCTGCACAGAAGAGTAAAACGCACAAAGCACACAGTTAACCCTTTGTTCACCCCAAATGTTAACCCCTTCCTGCTCAGTGTCATTAGTACAGTGTTAGTGCTTTTTATTAGCACCGATCACTGTATTAGTGTCATTGGGATGTCAGTGGCAGTCAGTCAGTTCCCCCCAGTGTCAGAATGCCCGCCGCAGTCCAGCTATAAGTCGCTGATCGCTGCCATTACTAGTATAAAAAAAATAATAATAATAATAATAATAAAAATAAAAAAAATTCCAGTATATATACACCGCCATTTGTAGACGCTATAAGTTTCACGTAAACCAAATAATTTACATATTGGGATTTTTTTTTTTTTTTTTTTTTAGCAAAGACGTAGCAGAATATATTTCATACAAAATTTGTAAATTTTTTTTTTTTTTTTTTACTGGGTAGGTTTAATAGCAAAAAGCCAAAAATAATGTTTTTTTGGGGAGGTGTTTTTTAATCGTTGGTCTTTGTTTATAGTGCAAAAAATAAGAAAAAAACACAGATGATCAAATACCACCAAAAGAAAGCTCTATTTGTATAAAAAAAAAAAGTACATAAATTTCATGAATGTACAGCATTGCAAAAAATGGCCTGGTCAGGAAGGGAGGTAAATCCTCTGTGTTTAAGGTTGTGTAGAGTTTTTGGAGGTGTCCAGTATTACCATAAATTATCAGTATTCATAGTGACAATGAATCTAAAGACCGGCAGATGAGGACAGCTCTAGAGCGATACAGAACTCTGGTACGTATTTGACTTTATAATCACTGTAATGGGCAAATTTTCCAGCTTGTCCGAAGTGAATGAGCCCCTAATGAATTAGATAAAACATTTTCAGAAGCCACCTAGAGTAGAGATCGGGTTGGGGAGCATTTATTTGTAATGAAACATTCTGTAATGCACAAACCTGGGAAGTAAGGGATCCTTTTCCCATTGAGTTTGTAGGCTACACCAACTTTAATCTCATCCAAAGTGTCTAAAATGTCCAGTTTCGTTAGAGCCAAGCTGTAAGAGATCAGAGAACATATCCATAAGCGATTATCGTACAGTGATCGTCCTTAAATCCACGACACCACAAAAGACAGACTTTTATTCTGCGGGCACTTAGTGTGTTTATCTTGTAATGCACCCCCCAAACCCAGGGGCACACTCCCATGTAAGGGACTAGCTCTGGCCTACCGTTTTGTACCTCATCCACCTTACTATTGGTTCTATAAAGGTGACCATCACAGGAATGGGCCAATAGTAAAAGATATAAGGCAAGAGAAGAGGACCAAAACCAGGAACTGTTCATGATAGCGTACCCATGGTCTTTGGGGTCACAAAACTGCTTTACAGAAGATCCATGCTGAAATGCCTGCAATAGAAACTGTCAGTGTAACAAGTTTCCCAGGCCCACTGGCACACTTTAATATTGAAGATGAGTTTGTTGCACAGACTAGTCTAGAATAAAGTGTTCAGTCTGGAACAAATAGTGGGTTGGATCCCTGTAAGCCATTAGTCACCGATTAAAAATTATTTGCAAACCACTTTATGTGGAAGGATCACTTGATTCTATTTTAAGGATGTATCTACACAATAATCTGGCAGCTGTACAGATGACCATAAGTACTTAAAAGAATTATTATTATACAGGATTTCTATAACTCCAACAGTTTGTGCAGAGCTTTACAAAGGGAGACAGTACAATTGCAATACAGATGGAAGGAATAGGAGGGCCTCGCTCATGGAGCTTACAATCTAAGAATGATCTGCATGTCTCCACCCAATACCATGCTTTTATGTCTGTCTTTTTAAAACCCCAAATCAATGATTTGTGATTCCCAATAACCACCAATGACATATTTAACTTGTTTCATCCTTTAGGTCAGCTGAAATTAAAATGGTAATCCCATTTTGAAACCAAAACTTCAGGGATATGATCCCAACGATATGAACAATTTGCATCTTCCTGAAGCTGAAGACACCAAGTTTACCTTGTAATGGGATATTGAAATTGAAAATTGCACACGTAAAAATCTGACTCCATTTTAAATCGCAGCTTTTTCAAAATAAAATACAAAAATAAATAAAAAGCCATAAAACGCAGGGTAAATCTATTCAATTTCTAATTTTTCTACATCTTCCAACAAACTCAAATTGGCAGCTGACAATGGGAATCCAGAGAGCTATTTACTAAAACTGGGAAGTGCGAAGTCTGGTGCAACTCTGCATAGAAACCAATCAGCTTTCAGGTCAAAGCTTAAAGTGTTACTAAACGCAGGTCTCTGCATTCACTATATCTGGTCTCCCACAAAATATGGAAATGCAATTTTAGTTATTTTACTGCAAAATATCTTCTCATCGGCAGTTAGAGCAGTCTTGTGACTTCTATCAGTGTACAGCAAAGCAATGGTTAAAACCTATAGGAGGCGTTTTCATTCTCCTATCACTGCCCTATGAGGCTGCATAACCCCTGACCCTCTGTCTGGACAGTGCTGATTGGCACTATACTGATCACATGCACTCTCTGAAGAAAAAGAAACACTCTCTAGCAGCACACATCAAACTGAGCATGTGCAGAGTGCCCCCATGTTCTATCAGCAGATGAAACGGGAAACATGGAAGAAGGGGAGGATCAGAGAAGACAGGATGAAACCGCCTTTTTACACAATGCAGAGGATTAGCCCCTTAAGTTCCACAGTGAGTATAACAAGCATGCTTTACTGCATATACAGACTGATTTTACTGTTGTGGGTTTACTAACACTTTAATTGAACAAGCTGATGATAGAAGCTATTTGGCCAACATGCACAGCTGTACCAGGATTCTGAGTGGTCCAGTTGTAGTAAATCTACCCCACAGAGGCAAAGTTGGAATATGACAGGAGTTGCTATTGGACAATGCAGACATACAGTCCCCCCCCCCACAAGCAGGCAATTTAATAAATGAGGGGGATCTGCACAAAATCTTGGGTGTTTTGTAGAATTTTAGTGAAAAGCTGTGGACTTACGCAGTGAATCCATTGAACATATGAGCGTATTTTAAAATGACCAGGTCCAGCCAGCCACACCTTCTCTTTCTGCCTGTGGTCACTCCCCATTCATGACCTTTTGATTGCAGAAGATTGCCTATATCCTGCAAGAAATGAAAAGCTTCAGTTAAACATGAAATATTGCGCTTAAGTAACCCGCTCACCAAAGTACATTTAAGCAGGATGAACACATCAAGAAAAGTAGGCAAGAACTTTCTGAAGCTGTGTGGTACCAATGCATCGGCTTTATTTTACAGTAATCAGATCTGTGTAATACTAGTAATGTGAAATAAAAACACCCAAATTGGTTCGTTTTTTAAAAAAGGGGCAAATACTGTAGCTGCTGACTTTAAATAAAAGGACAATTACCTGACCAAGGATCCAACACTGTGCTCAACCGAACCACTTTTCTGGTCTCCTGGTCCCTAGTTCTGGCACGTTTAACGGTGGGCAGCCAGCTATGATTCCTTGTGACTTCATGAGGCTGCCCACTGCATGCACGAGCCGCACCACTACATCTTGGAAACGGACCCACAATCTTTTGAGTAACGTGACGTTTCCAAAAGGTTGCAGGAGGGGGAAGGTTTAGGGTCTGATTAGAACTTCTGATGGATCACCGAGGTGATCCCGCTGGAAGTGGGAGTAGGGTTATCTCCCCGGGAAAATGCCACAAATAGAAAAGGGGGAATAAAGTGAAACCTCCCTTTATGGGTCTGGGTACCAGTCCTGTCCAAGAGCATATTCCACTCCACACATGCACTGATCCAACAAACCAGGGCTGCACACTCAATAGTGAAAATATGAATGGGATTCCAGCTTCAGTCCACTCGCTCATTTCACCCAGATAGGGCTTAATTGCAGTGGTGACCTCTACAATTAAGCCCTATACGGGTGAAACGCATCAGGGAACTGAACCAAACTTGGATTCCAGCTTAATCTCAGTTCTCTCCCATCAGTCATCTTTTTAAGGTGGATTCTTCCATCTGTTGCCCCAGTTTGTTGAATCAGATCTGTGGATCTGAGTCACCTCTAACATGTGCTGGGCTCCTATACTCTCTTTCATAGCAAACAATTTGCCCTCCCATGCCTCTGACATCATCAGGGCTCCAGCTGTTGTGTGGTGACAGGGTCACTTTAACCTGACAGAACAATCCATGCATTTCTCTTCTACATCTGACTGACTTGCTGGCTATATTCTATTGCTGATGGTAGAATCATCTTTAGAATAGCCACAACGAGAGCCTGATATGTAGGCCTGTGTTTTCTTTACTGGAGTATTGGCTTCTTCCCAAGCTCAGTGCTCAAACCCTGCAATATGAGAAGGAAGTTTCACAACACAAAATCATGACAAAGGTGCACAACTTGTAATCTTGCTTGGCAGCTCCAGATTCTAGGTTCAAATATGACTTTGCAACTGCATGTTCTCCGCACGTTTGCCTGGTATTGCTCTGGTTTCCTTCCGCAACACTACCATCCCCTAGTGTGTATGATTTGAAAGAAGTATGGCCAAAGCAGTTTTGGCCATACTTCTCGTGTGGGTCACAGGACTGCACTTACTTGTGCTCTAAGAATCAGCTGACAGCCGGCTAAAGTCCACTGTTGGCTGAGATCACAAAGCCACTCCAGGCTCTGGAAGGATCATAATATCCGGACGCACCCAGATGCTTGATCAACAGCTGACTCCGCCTCAGCGCACTGCTGAGAACCTGAGCCAGCTGCTCACATCCCCTCCTCAGAGCAGAGAACAGTGACTGAGTCAGAGAGATGCTGCAGCATGGAGGAGAGTATGTGTGTTTGTTTAGAATCCCACACTTCTCCTTCAAGTAGGGATGGCAGACTTAACCCCCATGTGGGACAGGGACCAATACAAATGGTTCTATTTGATCAGTAAATTTGTATATCATATATTGGTGCTGTACACTGTACATGGGAATAAGGCTGCAATGCCACACATGCTTCTAATGAATACAAGGGGTTATATAAAATTCAAACTAGAAAAATAAACAGTGGAAGTTGAGATTTCAGTGTGCCCTGGACAGTAGCAAAGCGGAGCTTAAGTCGTTGAATAATAAAAAAAAAAAAAAATTGGAAAAATTTTTTATTTTTTTTTTTAAATTGTACACCAACACATACGCAGCTCAAGCTCTCCTGGTTACATGCCCAATGCAAGCCATTGTGTGTGCATTTTTAATTCATTTTTAATAAAATCACTTCCATCTGCACTATCCAGTGTACAGGTCTGTTCTTTTCAAATGTTCAGTTATCTGGTATTGGGATTTGTACGGGGTTTGCAAAGATTAACAGTTGTATGACTAATTACCAGCAAAGCATGGTCTATGTGAAGATTCACCTGAGGCGTTTCACCATTCCTGGCCTGCCAATTAATGGAGCCCAAGACTCTAGACTCAGAAGACCAGGAGCAGGTAAAGCAGCGACAATGGTGTGATGTAATGTGGAATTTCTGGAGGAGGGAACTGTGTAGGGCAAGTATGCCATTATGTGTACATATGCTGTGCATAATTTCACACTATGGTATGGAAATCCCTTTCCACTTTATCTCCCCTTACAGTCCAAAGGTTTATCTGTTAGCTGGAAATGTGTTTTGGTCACACAGAGATGCAAGTCTTGCCACAGAGGCCTGTAAAATAAAAATGGCCCAACTTCCCCAGTCCACACCCCAGCAATACTCACATTGATCTGCTCTGTAGGGAAGGCTCCAACTCCTACTCTAGTGGTGTAAGCCTTCACCACACCATAGACTTCTCCTATATTCTGAGGAGGGATTCCGAGTCCAGTGCACACACCTCCTACTGTACAATTGGAAGACGTCACATAGGGATACGTTCCTGCAGGTACAGAATGGTCATTTCACAATGATAAAAAAACTTGAGACATTAATCACTATGTAATATTACTAAGCAGAAAAAAAAATACTGACTCAGCCAGGTACACACTTGGCCGAAAATCGAAATGGACGGTTTTTAAAAATTAATATATATTTTTTGGAGAAAAATACACTTTAATGTTCAAAAAACAAACAAAACAAAAAACATCACAATATATACCCCGATTTTTTGTAACATATGAAAGATTTTACAGTGAGTAAATAGATACCAAACATGTCACGCTTTTAAAATTGCGCACGATCGTGGAATGGTGTCAAACTATGGTACTGAAAAATCTCCATGAGTGACGCTTTAAAAATTTCTACAGGTTATCAGTGTAACGTTACAGAGGAGGTCTAGTGTGAGAATTATTGCTCTAGCTCTGACGTTCGTGGCAATACCTCACATGTTTGGTTTGAACACAGTTTACATATGTGGGCGTGGCCTATGTATGCATTCACCACTACATGCGAGCAAGGGGGGACAGGGGCACTTTAAACTTTTTATTATTTCAAAATTTGACACTGTCCCTTAAAAAAAAGAAAAAAAAAAGTAATCACTGTTATTCCGATCACAAGGAATACATGCATCCTTTGTGATAGAAAAGCAGTGACAGGGCCTCTTTATGGAGATATGGGGTCAACAAGACCCCACATCTCTCCTCTGCAATGTAAAGCATTAGATAAAGAAAAGCATTGATCTAGTGCTGGGGGGGAAAGGCCTTTTTTACAAGGCGCCGGAACTGGAAGTGACATCAGTCTGGTCCTCCAAAGGCAGCCAGCGCCGGGATAGTTCGGTAGTTTCTCAGGTAAGGCAGCATCAGCGAGGGGGCAGGGTTATTTTCTGCACCTGTATTGGTGCTTATTTTCATATCGGCCAACAGACAATAGGGGTGTTTTCGGCCAAAACGTTTCCACCACCAAAATATTGGTGCACCCCTACATGGGGGTTTATCAAGTGACCAAGTGTAGATGGAGAAGAGAAGGGGTCCAAGGATAGAACCTTGAGGGACCCCTACATAAAGAGGCAGTGGAGAGGAGGAGCCAGAGTTATAGGTAACGCTGATGGAGCGCTGCGATAGGTAGGATGAGAACCAGGAGAGAGCAGAGTCTCAGAGGCCAAGAGTGTGGAGTTTTTTGAGGAGGAGGAGATGGGTCAACAGTATCAAAAGCCGCAGAGAGGTCAAGTAGTAAGAGTACGGAGTAGTGGCCATTGGTTTTAGCAGTTATTAGATTAGTGAGTTTTAGTAGGGCAGTTTCAGTGGAGTGTAGAGGGCGAAAGCCAGACTGTAAAGGGTCAAGAAGGTTGTTGTCGGTGAGGTGGGAGCTCAGGCGATTGTAGACTAAGTGTTCTAAGAGTTTAGAGGTAAATGGCAGCAGGGAGATGGGTCTTAAGTTGTTCAGGTTGGTGGGGTCCAGGGAGGGCTTTTTAAGTATGGGAGTGATGTGTGCATGCTTTAGAGGGGAGGGGAAGGCACCATTAGAGAGGGAGAGATGGAAGATGTGAATGAGGGAGAATAGGACAGAAGAAGAGGGTGACCGTAGTAGTTGAGAGGGGACAGGATCCAGGGGGCAGGTAGTGAGACGGCCTTCTGAGAAAACCTTAGTGACCTCTTCGGTAGTAGCGAGGTCAAAAGAGGAAAGTGTTGAGGGAGGTTTAGTATAAGGCATGCTAAGTGGGATGGATGTCTGTGCAGAGGAGATGCCCCTATGAATTACAATCTTGTTTTTGAAATAATTGCCAATCTCGTAAGCAGTAAGGTACGGGGTGGAGGTGGAGAAAGAGAGAAGTAAAGAAGAGACAACGAGGACTGGATGACAAGCTGTTGATGAGAGTGACAAAGTAGGCTTGTTTGGCAGCATGGAGGGAGGAATTGTATGTTAGGAAAGCAGATTTATATCGGGTGAATACTTGGTGGGATTTGGTTTTATGCCACAAATCGCTCCAGTGCACAAATATGTCTCGTATGATTTCTGATGTCAGTCTGCCACGGTGGTAATGGTCGGGGCCTGATGCTTCGTGTAATTAGAGGAGCAAGTGAGTCTAGTGTGGAAGAAAGCGAACTGTTGCAGACAGCAGTGGCCAGGTGAGGGCAGGACAGGGGAGAGATTCTGTCATAGAGGCGGTCAGTTGCAGAGTGTTAAAGAAGTTGAAGTTGTGAAGGTTTCTGTGGGTAGTTGTTTGCTGCTTGGAGGGATAGGTGTTTGAAGACGAGGACACTGAACGTGATGAGATTGTGATCAGAGAGAGGAAGGGGGTGTTTGTGAGGTTGTAGGGAGTGCAAAGATGGGAGAAAGCAAGGTCTAATGTATTCCCATCAGAGTGAGTGGAGGACTGTATACATTGTGTTAAGGCAAAAGATGAGGTTAGGTTGAAGAGTTGGGATGTAGCCGGGTTGTTCACATTAATGGAGATGTAAAAATCCCCAAGAATGAGAATGTGCATTTCAGAGGAAAGTAGGGTAGCCAAGCAGAAAAGTCATCAAGGAAGCGCGACACAAGTCCAGTAGGCCGAGAGACATGCAACTATATTGTCTGTAGCCACTGTTACCAGAAATGAGCTGTGATAATAGCCATGGGAGAGGAACTAGATGCTACCATCTACTTCCCTAATGTTTTCCCGCCTTGAAACCACAAACTTGTTATTTTTTTGCTTAAGACTACAGTTCTGCTTTTAGATTTTAAACACCAGAAGCAGTTTTAGATCTTTCATTTCAGACAAAGCTGATTGAATTGGCATTCGCTGACACACATAAAATAAGTCATTTGCCAGAACTAACCAAAGTCAATGTCAAGTAATGCAGCATTTGCTCCTTCTACTAAAATCTTTTTCGGAGGACCATGAAGGGCTTCATACATGAAGTATACTCCATCTTTCACCATGGGGCGGATTTTTTCAGCGTACATCTGTAACACCACAAAAGTATAATTGTTATTTGGAATAATCAGTCACAATACTTTTTGTAAAATGTTCTGGAATAAAAACTCAGCAACAACTTCTGCTGTGCCAAATGGACAAGGCTATATGAGTGACGCTTAATTCCTTGAAACAGGATTCAAAGAATCTAAAGCAGCTAAAGCAAATACTTCTCAGTTGTTACCAAAACAAGAAATTAAGGGGGAATCTTCCATTGCAGAAACTATGCTAAAATTACTAAAGAACAAATACTTTTATTATGTTTTCAAAATATATACAGTACATACATATACTGGTGGGTAACAGAAGAAAAACCCACCTATTTTATACCTAAAGCCAAATCCTCCTCTCTGACCTTGGAGAAATGTTTGGCTTCAGATATAATTTAAGAGGTGTCTTTTGTTACCCGCCAACTTTTTTTTTTTTAACACACACACAATATATATATTAAAAACAATTTAAGCTTAAGTAGGCTAAAATTGCATTGTATATGTTTTAAAGTGTTAATAAACCCACAACAGTAAAATCTGTCTGTATATGCAGTAAAGCATCCTTGTTATACTCATTGTGGAACCTAAGGGGTTAACCCTCCGCATTGTGTAAAACGGCTGTTTGATCCTGACTTCTCTGATCCTCCCATTCTTCCACAGCCCCCAATCCATCTGCTGGTGGTATAGAGCCCTAGGAGGCACTCTGTACATGTTGGTGCATATTGCTAGTTTTTTTTTTTGGGGGGGGTACGTTATCTGCACAGGGCAATCAGCACTGTCCAGACAGAGGTTCAGGGGTTATGCATCCTCATAGCACAGTCAGAGGAGAATGAGGACTCCTCCTACAAGCTTTAACCAGTGCTCTGTTGGACACTGATAGAAGTCACAAGACTGCTATATACAGCTGATGAGAAAAGGTATTTAACAATTTATATTTACTCAAATAATTGCATTTCCATGTGTGTACTGTGGAAGACCAGATATAGTGAATGCAGGGTCCTGGGTATAGCAACACTTTAAGCAGCAAATTAAAATACATTTTTTATTACAATAGGGTTTGATTTCTTGCCTAGCCAGTATAGCGTCTAAATGTTTATAGAGAAGGAACATTCAGCAATACGGATTTGTTTACTTTGCATTTTCAGTCATCTTTTCTGCTAGATGACAGATCTGATGGAATCCCGCTAAACCTGACCTCAAGGCAAACTGCTAAACATACAGTTAAAATACATAGGCGGGAAATGTCTTCACGGTCAAAGGCTTTGTATTTCTATGCAGCACATTGTGCAATTTTCTATAATCAGGTCAGGCTCTCTTTGTAGACTACAGCTGAGCTATACAGCTTAGTAGAGGACCCAATATATGACTAGATATTCAAGGACGAAACCCATAATGCCTCATGCACATGGGCCACCAGCGTTATGCGGCAAAGTTTGATTGGCTCACAGTAATACTCCTCTAGTCTGTGTGGTGGTAGAGGTAGCTCACATCAGCACAGATTCTGATACTTTCATCAGCTGTATGTAAAAAGCACAAATAAAAAAAAAAAAAAAAGGTACCCATAGCTGAATTATGCATTTTTATATCTGCCTCAATTGGTTAGCACTTTAACCTAGCAGCACTAGGATCGTTAGTTCGAATCCCAACCACGGCACTACCTGATAGGGATTTACATGTTCTTCCTGTACCTCTTTGTAGTGTGAGGAAACCTAAAGACATGCTAGCAGTTTAATCTGCCCAAGTATGTGTATGTATGAATGCAAGTTAGGGACCTTAGATTGTTAGCTCCTTGAGGGTTAGGGACTGATGTGAATGTACAAAGTAAAGTGCTGCGTAAAATTGACGGCGCTATACAAGTACCTGTTTTAAATGTGACAGAAATGTGGCACATTAGAACTTCAGCTGTGTTCCAGCGGTGGAGATTCAGCCTCTATATTGGTCCAAGTTTTCAGTTGTCACCAAAACAGGACTAGAGAGGAACCCTTCCAATGTGGACACCTGTGGTGGCAACTACAGTATGCCAGGATTTAACTCAATTTAACCGGTTGCCCTCCGCCCTAAAGGAGACGTATTGCTACAGGGTGGCAGGGCTGTGTAAAATCACGTATATATACACACGTGATTTGCATTTCTGGGTAGGGGGCATGCGCACCACCCTAACTGCGCTGCTATTGGTGGCTAGAGATGTCAATCACCGGGTCCCAGCTGGAACTCCTTGATAGTCTGGGAGAGCTGACAGGGGAGAGACCTGTGTGTAAACACAGGTTTCTCTCCCATCAGCATGGACATGCTGTTTTGTATCTCTCTCTGCACAGCATGTCTCACTAGTAAAAACACAGCACACATCAAAACACACTGTTAACCCTTTGATCGCCCCAGATGTTAACCTCTTCCTGCCCAGTGTCATTAGTACATTATTGTGTAAAAAATAAAATGCACAGGCGATCAAATACCACCAATAGAAAGCTCTATATGTGGAATTTTTTTTTACAATTTTCCTTTATGTGCAGTGTTGCATGACCACGCAATTGTCAGGTAAAATAACAGCGCCATATCGCAAAAAATGGCCTGGTCAGGAAATCCTCTGGAGGGCAAGTGGTTAAAGAGGTGATCTCTCTTTCTACCGTAGGGAGGGAATTAAAAACGAACCTCAATGAGACATGGGGCTACAAAATGAGAGGCAGATAAATATTTAATGTGAGATAAATAAGGAATGTGAAATAAAAAATTTTACCTGTTCGCAATTTTTTCTAATGCAGAGGAGGCATCTTATCTCTCTTCTGCATTACAGTTCCCTACCTGCCTGTCAGCCCCTGTACACCGAGATGCGCACATGCAGCTCAGTGTACAATTTTGGCAGTGCCAAGATGAATGAACTCTATTGCATGTGCTGGTGTGACATCATTTCGGCCCATTTTGGTCCCCGGAAGCTGACCAACTGAAGATCACACCGGTTGGCACATTACATCACTGGATAGAAGGTATAGTGAGTATTTGTAGACAGTGGGCCTCGGTATAAAAAAAAAACAAAAAAAAAAACAAAAAAAAAAACTGAAGCTGACAGGGTACCTTTTTTCAGCTACATATAAAATGTTCAAATCGAAATTCAGCCAGTCCCGCTGGGGAGAAGTGTTCTGCTATGTGGGTGATATGGAGGTGCAAAGCAGTGAAGGACACTAAGTTGTTTGACTATAAATGACTAAAGAGCCATAAGGTATAGGTGTAGCAAAGAATGAAAAGTAAATGCTTGTTTTCTACACTGCAGTGGTAACAGGATATCATAACTCTACAGGCAATAAAGACTACTTTTTCAGGTTTTGTTTTTTTTGTTACAGTTAAGCTGCGCTGTTCACAGCACATTATTCAGAATATATTTCACTTTTCTATGACATTACCTTTAGTTTCTTTAGCTGGCCTTCCACATCTATCTCCAGATTTGGAAACATTGATTGATGCTGCTGAGCCAGGTTCTTAAACCTGCAAAAAAGCAAGAAATGATAAACAAATCTGTTCTTACCCACGTCAACGTGCTAAACAGCAGATCTATAGGCCAAGACAAAGACTCAGAATGCTCCTATCCATTTTTCAGTGCTTCTTGGAGCCAGATAACAGCTTAGCCACTTCAGGATATGGAACATGACAGATATGACCTAAAACGTTTTTAAGATGCATCTCTTACATTCAGCTGCCCTCTTCCTGCCACTTTAACTGGCTGTTAAAAGGACACCTGTATAAAATATGCAAGTGTCATTAAGTAAATACAGTATAGCAATGTATTAGTACATTGCATGCCTTCTCACCTCCTCTAACATTTGGCACTTATTTTTTTGGGCAGAAGTTAACCAACACCAAGCCCCCCAAAGACCTCACAGCTGGTTTCCCTCTCCAGCGCCTGGACCCTAAGCCCATAGAAGAATCGGCTCAGGTGAGGACATCGCTGGATCCCTGGACAGGTAAGTGTCCATATATTAAAAGCCAGCAGCTACAGTATTTGTAGCTGCTGACTTAATTTTTTTTTTTTTTTTTTTTTTTTAAAGCTTACATGCCACTTTTTTCTATTGTCCCCACTGGAAGATTTTAACGGACTTTAAAAAGGTTCACTTTACCATGGCTTTCTGGTTTTGCTTATACACCAATTAAAATTTTAATTATTAACTGCACTTAAATCAGAAGCCCAGATGGGGAAGTAGTTGTATGTAACTGTACTATAAAGGGTCTTATTTATAATATAAGAGGCATATGTTAGGGGTTTATTTATGTTGCTTAGTATTGACAAACATTTGTAGAACAAGCCAATGGAACAGAAACCAAGATTAAAGTTCCAGCAGAAATCTACCACCTATGTACAGTATATGTCAAATAACCAACCTAGATGAAAACTCATCAAAGTTTGAAAGAAGGTCACACACACGAAGACCGGTACGTGCCGCTTTGGAGGAGTAAGTTGGTCCAATTCCTTTCTTCGTAGTGCCAATGCTGAGAACAGAAATGAACAGAGTAAGTGAGAGAATACTAGAATACAGTTATGAAGCCACATTTACTGGGAAACTTCATTCTTTTTAAAGTCCAACTCCAGCTAAAGCCCAACAAGTCTTAAAATGCTCTCCCCCCCCCCCCCCCTTCTACCACCTATACTAACCTGTGTAACAAAGTAGTTTATGCTTACCTATTTTCCGCCCACTCCAGTTCAGTCATGTGATCCAGCTCCCCTGTGTCAGCCAGTGACAGCTGCAGGGGAGAGGTTGGAGTGCCAACAATGGCTGCACCATGGGAGCCTAAGCCGCTGGCTGACACGGGATCACGTGGACTGAAAAATAGAGAAATATATACTTTTTTTTTTTTTTTTATTTACACAGGATAGGTAATATAGATGTTAGGTGGGTGCAGGGGACAGTTTTAATTAATTAGGACAGTTAGGCTTTGGCTAGAATTCTCCTTTAATGTTTGAAACAAACGAACTAAATTACATTACAAAAACAATGGCAGAACAAACATCTAGTCCAAGTGGTTTTTTGCCAAGTGCATATTTACAGAATTCTACGCACGCCTCAGCATAGAATTTAACAATGAAAAAAACAAGCTAGTATGAAGGACACTGTGGATCTTCATTCACCCAGTCCATGTCCAGGTAGCACAACTTGGCTCTGTGTATTGGATGCATGTTTGGTAGAGCCCTAAAGGAAAGGCTAAAGCAGGCTGTGACCATTACATAAAAAAAAAAAAAAAAAAAAAAAAAAAGGACTGATTCTATGCATGAAGGTAAAAAACCTGGGTGCAGCTCCCACTCAGTCCCCTCTAATACTTACCTTAGCCCAATCCAGCAATGTGTATGAGAGCTGGGTCTCTCCCTCCATATTGGCTCACAAGCAGCAGGAGCCATTGTCTACTGCTGCTGTCAATCACAGCCAAATAGTCAATGAGGAAAGCGCAGGGGGCGTGGATGTGTGTGAACGTACAATTCATTCACAGGAGCATGGCTCAGGAGTGAATGTGCTTGAGTACCCCATAGCAGGAGGCTTGCTATTGGGGAAACTTGGCAGGGGGCTAATGAGGAGAGTGCAGGGGGCGGGGACGAGCTGTCCCGTGTGTGAATGGACAATGTCTATGCACAAGAGTGGCTCGGGAGTGAGCCTGCTCAAGCGCCCCATATCAAGATACCTGCTATTGGGGGAACTTTGCAGGGGAGGAGCCAGGAACACCAGCGGGGGGACCCTAAAAAAAAAAAAATTGACTTTTAGATTCACTTTAACATGTGTTAGATGACCTGCTTTAAACAGGAAAGGCGAAGGCATGAGATTGGAGATTCCTCCTACATAGGGCTCAAGGTGTAATATACAATAAGAGGATTGCAATGGCTCAGGTCTAGACTGCTTTGGCATATTGCAAGGTATCCACTGAAAAATGAATGATTAAGAGCAACACACCAAAAGATCTCAGGTCCTAAGGTATTTATACTAAAACAAGCCAATGCCTTTCTAAGCCAGGCTATTGTTCATCAGAGTTAAAAAGACCCAGAGAGCTTCACTTCACATACCAATAGCTCTTTGTATTGGTCAGAGGGATCCTTCCCCTAAGACAAGTTGACAATTGTATGGCCAGCTTCAGAAGGTTCCTAAATCCTGTTACTATCGAGTTCTAGCTCGCTGCCCATTTACCGCTATATCTTTGTACTACTGATTTAGGCGGCCCTGTCACCTCTACATTGCACTTGTTCCTTGTCTGAGCAAATATCATATACTGCCTTGTACATTACATGAAATTACCATTTTATTGTATCTGTTGTATACCATTAGATAAAAAAAAAAAAAAAAAATAGATCTTTGAAAGAACCAGAATATTCAATTATAAAACTTGGATACAAATAGCTCAAACTCAATATATGGTTAAAAGTACGGGTACAAATTTAAATATATAAAAAAGTGAACAATCAGATAAGAAACAACCTTAAACTAGCTGGACTCTGGATTGAAGCAAAGCAATAAAGAGCTTGGGAAAGGATTGTGCCTAGTGGTTTAGTAAACATTGTAATCAAGCGAAAGATTATTCTCAAACCATAAAAATCTTTCATATGATCAGAATATCTTATGTTCACCTAGTAGTGGACTTTTTACCCCATTGTTCCCTGTTATAATAATAAATATATATAACAATAAATCAGCCTTTTTTTTTTTTTTTTTTAAAGAGTTGCTCTTTATGTTAACTAAAATCTGAAAATTTTTATATATATATATATATATATATATAATAAATAAATAAAAAAGGAAGAAGAAAAAGGTTCACATTTGTCTTGAAAAAACACTAAGAGGGTAACTTGCAAAAAATCATTACTTTTTGCCATCTTGCGCTTGTCGCTGGACTTCTTGGAGACCGTCAACAGCCTGATGAAAGTCACACACTATACAGAGGAGATATAAAAAGGAAGACACCAAGAAGAGGAATTCAACATAACTGTTACATTAGAGGGAAAAAAAAAAAAAAATCTTAGTGAAAGTTCTATTATGGAACACTTTTAGAACTAATGTTACCCATACAGGAACTCAATGGAACTCCCAGTCTCTCCCCCCCCACCAAGAAATTATACTCAGCCATCCCTGCTTCTCTGCCACTTCCTCAAAAGCCCACCTTACTTTGGGTTCTGTGTCAGAGCTCACCTGGTGGCTTATATCATAAGATAGTGTTTGGGCCTGGTTATTGGCCACCTAGACCCAAGCACAGTCACAGCCAGAAGCCCTGCTCTGTAAGAGCAATGGAAGGAGAGCTTCAATGGAGATGGCAACGGAGCACAGACGGGCAAGTACAGCTTGTATGGGAGGGAACAAGGGCTCTAAACAGGCAAAGGGATAATGCTTTTTTATTAAAGACCTACCATAGAAAACCTCAATTTATTTTTGCTAGAATACATTGGACTTGATTTACTAAAAAACAATTGAGTGCAAAATCTGGTGCAGTTCTGAATACAAACCAATCAATCAGCTTCCAGATTTTATCAAAGCTTAATTGAACAAGTTGAAGTTAGAAGCTGATTGGCTACCCATGCACAGCTACACCAGATATTGCACTCTGGTTTTGGAAATCAACCCCATAGTGTCCTGAGGATTGTACTTATTTTTAATATACATTTCTTCATATTTAACATCTACTTACCTAAATGCGCTCGATCAGATATGACTAGCCTTTTCTCCCAATCTTTCAAGCCTGTTGGGAAAAAAAAAAAAAAAAAAAAAAAAAAAAAAAAAAAAAATGAGATCAAGTTTTTTTTTTTTTTTTTTCTTAATCCTAAATTCACCTTTCTGAACATGCTACATCCTTATTTAGGGTGTAACATGTAAGATTTGTAACATCCACCCTCTCTATCCCGGATACACCTCCTCATCGGGTGCAATCCTTTACAGGCTTCTTAGAAAAAAAAAAAAAATGCACATTTTATATTACTGGCAAAAGTTAGCCACTCTGATTGCTTTCACAAGAGAGACGGACCTTCAGCTCTAAACCCTGCTGCTTTCTTGCAGCAGGGCTAAATATAACAAGAACTCCTTGCCCGGCACCCAGAACTGCATGTCCCGGCCGGTGATAGTAACTGAACATCCCTGGGTTAAGTAAGTATATATTTTTTATACAGCTTAGGCAGAATAGATAGGAGGGGGAGGGAACATTTTTAACATAGAACCAAGCTTAACAGAAAACTGCAAGCAGGCAGCTCATTATAGCAGATGAGACATGCTATGCCTCTGCAGCCATAACAAAGACCTGCCTGCTCACAGTCTTCTATTGAATGCACACAGAGCTGCATGTGCACACTCCAGCTGTGATGGAATGACAGACTCCCGTGCACCAGGGTGGATGATGTCCCAGACTGGCCAATCAAGAGGCTGAAACCCCAGCACCTAGAAGTAGCCAGAGAGGATGGCAGTGGCCAGCATGGGAATGAACCATCACAAAGCAGGAATGATTCCCGAGTGTAGTTCTGTATTAAGTTTTTAAAATGACAGCTAGAAGTGGTTTGGTTTACATGCACAACTGCTTCAGAATCTGTCTGCTCCAGCTTTGATAAATTCCCCCCTTTAGGGCCAGTTCACACTATATGCGTGTCAGTGTGTTTTTTTTTTCTGCAACCAAAACACACAGAAAGTAGATTATATGGTTGTCAATGTCATAGTTCACATCAGTGCTTGCAGTTCCAGTGCGTTCCAGATGCAGAAAAAACAAAACAAAACGTAGAACAGGCTGCATTTTTCCTGCACAGAACTGTATTGTAATGTGGTAAAACGCACCGAAACACACCAAAAGCGCACTGGGACACACATGTCCCTATTTGAATTGGAGGAAAAAAAAAAAAAAAAGGGAAAAAATGAAATGGAACGTATCAAAAACACACCGGCATGCATAACAAAATGCATAAAAAAAAAACAAAAAAAAAAAAAATACACTGGAATGCACCAAAAATGTGTCAAAAAAAAAACAAAAAAAAAAAAAAAAAACACATGCAGGAATGTATCATGATGCTTGCACAGTGTTTTCCATATATTCCAATGGCCCTAGTTCACACTAGTGCAGTCAGTTTTCGGTGCAGAAAAAGAAAAAAAAAAAAAAAAAAAAGTGGAACATGCTGCATTTTTTTCTGCACAGAACTGTACTGGAATATAGCAAACTGCACCGTAATGGAGTTGGGTGTGAACAAAAACATATCCACAATGCATCCAAAGTGCATTTTTGTGGTGTGAACTGGCCTTTAGTCTTCTAAGTTGGCATCAATGCGAGCCCACACCCCAATTAGTTCACCCTGGTGATGAGCAGCCTAGCAGTAATCGTCTCCTATATGCCACCATTTTTTTTTTTTTTTTAAACCCTTGGGTCCAAACCACCTACCAGCACCCCGTATGGATCATCCAGCTCAACCCAACCCAACCCCCAATTATATTTCATATACTACTTACCTTTCTTTTCATTTTTTTCTGCCTCTTCAAACAGGCCTGGCAGATGTATCACTACACCATTACCTGCCAAAGAAAAAAAATAAAAAAAAAATCAGCACTGAATAGCAAAAACACATTTACATCATTATAATCTCATCACATACATTTTAAAAAGCTCATATAATAGAACCAAAGTCTGTATCATGCTCATGCTCCATTAGCATCATCTCCCTTGCGAAAATATAGACACTTCAGAAGCAAAACCAAAATAGCCTTGAAATGCATTAACTCTGGGTAAGACCACTCATTAATTCCCATAAGGGTTACAGATCACCAAGACGATGAGAGGGCTCGAGCCCTGCAGAAGAAAATGAACAGTACTAATGTGTCTCCAGGGAAATAGGCTGTGGCTACATTTGTCATGGTAAACAAGAATATACGATGGGTCGGACCATTTTACTGCAGCGGGTCTTTATAGATTTCTTCTGGCACTAGATAAAGTTTGCGCTTTTTTGCCATAAAACCCCATTAAGTAAATGTCCCAAAGGCTCGGATAAAGGATAATAAAACAAGATGAAGTACGGCTTTCACGGCTCATTCTTGTGTACACAGCAATGTGTATAAACCTTTCAGTTAAACCAATTTATTATTTTGCCTTTTTATAGCCATTCTCAGTTATCCAGTTGCTTCTCGCTTTTATCGCATGCTTATATTTTATAGAAGGATTAACTGGAAGCTTTCCTTCTTAAATGTTTGACGGAGCGTAAATGCCCGTCACTGACTGGAACAATGGAATGTGAGCGTTGTGCCCCGCAGGCAGTAACTGGCCGAGCTTTGTCGGAACTTTGAAGCTAAAGAAAAAAGAAAAGAAAAGAAAAAAAAAAAAAAAAAAAAAAAAAAAGAAGGTCATTCTGAATAAGACTGTAAAAATTTTACTGTGGTATGTATACCTCAACACCAAACATAATATGAAAGAACATCGAGAGAGGGAACCCCAGCATAGTGCATTACTAAAAGACACTTTATAATTAATAAATACATTTTAAAAAATCGAATGTACTCAAAGCAGAAAGCGTGTAATCAGTCCAACCACTGTATCGATGTTCATGCACAGGGGTGTAGCTTACGCATTTCAAGAGCAGTGCCCTCTTTCATCAAAGCTCTGATGAAGAGGGCACTGCCCTAGAAACGTGTAAACTATGCCCTTGCGAATGGGCATCGAGAAAGTGGTTAGACTGGACCGATTACATACGTCCGTAAGTACATTGGATTTTATTTTTTCTAATGAAGGGTCTTTTGGTAATGCCCAAAGCTAGTGCACCCTCTCCATTTGTTCTCTCAGTTGTTGACTATTTCCCCAGTCTGAAGCAGGCAGCTAGGCCTGTATGGTGCTGGGTTCTCCACTGACAGTTCTCCATGTTTTAGTTTGGTGTGACTGAGGAGTCTGCTTTGGGACCATTGACTTGGGCTCGCTATTTTGATGGTTTCTTTCCCCTGTAATGCTGACGAGGTGTTTATTTGCTACACAGGATATTTAGAATTGAAAAAAAAAAATAATGGTGTATGGATTGTTTCAGCTTACAAGTTTAAATTCAAAATCTAGCTGAATTATAAAAGAAAAAAAATTCATAGAAGGCATAGAAAATAAAAGGTGTCTATGCATTTCAAGACATGGCCAGACTATGCAAGCTCTAATCTGTGTCCCAATAGTAATGGCTGGATATAAGCAACTTGAAAAATAAAATTTGCATATTCAATGTAAGTTCCTGTTCTCTGAGTTTATCGAAACACACATCCAGATTTATTAGATGTGTGTGTTTATGCGATAACAGGTCTAATGAGCCTGGATGAGCTTCTCAATGAACAATAGAGAAATAGTGCACTGCTCCAAATACTGAGCAGGGCTGTTACAATGCGGTGGTTTTAACTTCCCTGGGAAAGTCAGGACCAGGTATTAAAATGTTTGAACTTCTACCTTTACTCTGCCCCTGGTTCTGTCTAAACAAAATACTTCCAAAAGGTAATGTGACTTCCTGCAGCACTTGAATACGTTACTTGCCAGTACAGTAAGGGCCTGTTCACACCAGAACATGCTGTGCATTCCTATATGACTCAGGAACACACGCACCTGGCCATCCACATTATGTATAAAATGTGGTTCATCAGACCAGGTCACTTTCTTCCATTGCTCTGTGGTCTAGTTATGATGCTCATGTGCCCATTGTAGCTACTGCTCCCAATTGGCACATGAGCATCAGAGCTGGACATGGGTCAGCATTGGCACCCTTGACTGGTCTGTGGCTACACAGCCCCATGCTCATTTTTTCTGCTTTCAACATATCACCTTCAGGGACAACATGTTCACTTGCTTCCCAATATATCCCACCCACTTTCAGATGCCATTATAACGAGATAACGTGTTTTTCACTTTACCTGTCAGTGGGTCATAAGGTTATGGCTGACCGGTGAATAATTGGATCAACTGGGTCCCATCTGAGCGGTGATAACCAAGAGATTTCTATGTGGCTACTGGCAGCATTTTTTTTTCTACATGGCAAATGTCTATTAAGTAGATGGTGGGAGCAGTTAATAATTTTAATTTTTTTTTAAAGGACTGGCTGCCCTTTCATGGACATCCAATTTTATCAGTGGAGCACTTGTATACTGACAGATAGGAACCAGCATAATTAAAACAATGACCAACCTGTGCACGTGTTAGAAAATGCATGCATTGAAATGTCTAGTCTTGGAAGGGTACATGGTTAATCTTAACTTAATTTTTTTTTTTTTTTTACTGGTGTAAGTCTTTCGCAGAGCATCTAGTTTATAGAGACAGACTCACTTTTCATTTTCTCCACCTTTTAAAAGCAAGTCCAAAAATCTCCCATAGAAAGGGCTGTGGCCCTCATGGAACTTGGCATGTGTTGGGATAGGTAAGACAGAACTGAATGTTCAGACATGCTGAAACAGAGTAATCTGTGAGAACAACATTGCAATGTCGGACACTTACCAATGAAGGAAATAGCTTTACTATTAATAATGCCACTTGGAAAGAGATGGAAATCATATTCTTTGCCATCTACCACCACAGTATGTCCTGCATTGTTTCCTCCCTGAAAGACAAATGGGGATAAAAAAAAAAAAAAAAAAAAATTACTAGTTACCAAGAAACGGGCTTAAAAAGGGTAAAAGTATATTCAGTGAGCATTTTGTATATTACAAGTTATCATTGCAATTTTTACTTTACAACATCTCTGTTGCCGTTTAAAATAAATAAAAATTCCCCCTGCAAAGAAAAGATCGATGCTTACCCTACAGATGCTGCCAAATTTCATTGTCTTCAAGAGAAAAAAAAACAAAAAAAAAAACAAAAAACAAAACTTGCTGACAAATCTGCAACTGACATTTCCAGGGGTGTCAATGTCTGGCCTTCCCTCTGCACTCTTATTTCAACTGCCACTGCCTACTTACCTACAGGACACAATAGTGACGTAGAGGCAGGTGCAGACCAGAAGCCTGTACTCCCAAAGGGTCAGATGCAGATATTTCAGCAAGTTTATCGCTTGAAAATAATGGCAGATGGTGGTGTAGGGGCCAAATTATATATCTAAAATATATCTATCCATCCTTTCTTTGCAGGAAATACCAGGAAGTATCACGGCTTTAACTTTTCCGAACACTTGGAATTCACCCGATTGCCTGGTTGTCTACTTTTTGCTCTTATATACACTCTATTTATTCTGGCTCATGTGTACCATTTCATAGTTGCTTCACTCTGGGTGAACATAACATCATCCAGGCAGAATTGTATTTTCTGATCCTGTTTCGATTATCTTTTGCTATTAGTGGAGGTTTTGTTTCCTCGTTTATGGTTAACTGCTCCTATTCTGTACACTGCCTGTGTATTATATATTTTGCTGAAAATGTTTTAAAAACCAAGTGAAAAAAAAAAACAAAAACAAAAAAAAACTTAGAATTTAAGCGGTTGCAACTTTGCATGCAACTTGCAGCACAAAGTCGCATGATAACTGAAAACCCTTTTATTTTGGCTGTTCTGTTCAATGAGACTTAAGTTACAGTGACTTTTAAAAAATGTTCCTGCAATGCTTTAATGCGACTTGAGTGCCATAAATTCCTCAAGTCGCAAGCAAGTCGCACTGGAAATCATATGACAATGGGGTTATTATACAGGATTTATATAGCGCCAACAGTTTGCTCAGCGCTTTACAATATAAAGGGAGACAATACAGCAACAATACAAGAGGGTTAGGAGGGCCCTGCTCCTTGGAGGGTTGCAGCAGTGTGAACCCAGATTCTACTATTTATGTTATACAGCTCTGATGGAACAAATCTCCCACTGCGGCTATTGCAGCTAGCCCTGCCGGTTGTCAATATGCCTTCACAGGTGCTGCATCCAGCTGGATGGATTGGATGTGCCACCTTTTGGCTGACTATATTTTTGCCTGGCTTCTTCTGGGCAAGACAGCCAACAGGGCCACATATTGAGGGCATTTCCGCCATCTCCTTTGGAAACCGGCCAGGATTTGTGCTTTAAACTGGCCATGCATATACAGATGTATCATTTAGCCTGTAGGCTGAACAAAAGAAATCCACAGGTTCCTCAATCCACACAAAGGGTGTAGATTGAAAAAAACTCCCCTGCTGGGCTATTGTATTACGACAGCTGATGACACCACTTGTCAAAAAATCCAAACAGTGCCTGCAGCTAAAAAGATGTAACAACCAAAAAAAGCAAGGACTCAAGCGTACCCAATGAAAGGTACAGTGAAGTTGACAACAACAATCCAGAATTAATTGCCATTGAATTAAAGTGTAATCTGGTTGGATGTCGTGGTTTAAAGAACTGCATTGTATTGCAACTGCCTGGCTTTTCAATTACCAAACTGAAAAACCCCAAATAATGTTTTAGCTCAGCGGTGTATCCTCACAGGATATGATTACTGGATCGTTATAGGTAGTAGGTTATCCTTCAAGAAACTTGTCAGCAAGTTATGAACATTGGCTGATGTGTCCTCCTAGCAACATTGTTGTGTATTATAATACTTTCATCCCAACCCGACCCCCACTGCTCCACAACACATCTCTATACTATTGTTTCTTTCCCTTCAGTTGGACTTTTACAGTTAAGGTCAGACCATTAGGTTGCTGCACTTGACTGATATTGTTTTGAGAATAAAAAGGATGCAACTCCCTGCCAACGCACACCAATTATATGCTACTTACGTTACAGATTTAGATTTAAAAGGGGGGGGGGGGGGGGGGGGTGAGGAATACAACAGAGGTATGTATGTCACTTGCGTCTCAGTTTAATTATCTGCCAGGGAAAGTATTTTCTTGCATTAACAGACATTGGAACAATGCCAGAGACTGAATACTATCCCACAACACAAGAGTTCAAGGAGAGATCCATACAATCATCTAGGAGGAAGGAGGGTCACACTATAGTCAATAGTTTAGGATATCAGATTTCTTTAGTTATACAAACACCCTTTTTGGGTCCTAGATGCACAGGTTCATTTCCCTGTCTGAACTGTATCCAATGTTCAGATATTCTGAAAATGGAGTGCGCCAATCACACAGAAGGGATATAAAATTCCAGCTACACACCAACAATCCGTCAACCTATGTGGCATGTATGATTTGGTGTCTGGTGGCCCTCTACTATGTTGAAAAGACCCACACAGAAGCTTTAAGTGGTTGTAATCAGACATGAAATATGAACAAAGCATACCCCTCTCCTAACCCTACAAAAAGGAGAGGAAGACAGGAATTACCAGCCAGGGGCTTTAGGAGTCAAACCCGTACAACTAAATTGGAGCAAAAACATTGAAAAGAAAGGGGGAAACCCTGATCCAGGCAGAAGCCCAAGGCCAGACAAACCAGGCAGATCTGCATCAACACACGGGGACTGCTGACCAAATGGGCATTTGATCAAGATAAAAACGGGATGGTAGGAAATGGTATCTAAACTGAGGGATAGAGGGAGTTTGGCTTGTGTTTCCTGTAGGAGGAACCAATCATCTCTCAGAATACTGTCCCAGAAGATGATTAGGGAGACACGATTAAACGCTTACTTTTTACTTTACACACTTACATCAGGTAAGGTAGATTGAACACAGCACCATTTTTCTAGGTAAATATATTTCTAAAAAGGTGCCATTGACATGAAATTTTCACCACATGTGGGTAACAACCCATGCAATCCATACAAAGAAACCAAAACAATAAAGTTCAGAAATTTAGTTATGTGTAATAAAATGGAATGACACAGGAACAAAGTATTAAACAAATGAAGAAAGGGAGGTGCAAAAAATGCATGGAAAGCCAAGACACCAGCTGAAATCTATCAGTAATTAGAAAGCAACCCTGCCCCTTGTGAGAATTAATATCAGCTGGATCAGTCTCAGCTGACAGCCTATAAAAAGGTGTCACACAAGAAACCTCTCATGATGGTAAAAGCAAATAGCTCTTTAAAGACCTTCACAACCTTTTTCTTGCAAAATATACTGATGGAACTGTCTACAGAAGGATTTCTAAACTTCTGGATGTGCCAGTGAGCACTGTTGGGGCCATAATTCCAGAAGTGGAAAGAATATAATTTCGCCATAAACCGGCCACGACCAGGTGCTTCTCGCAAGATTTCTGATGGAGGAGTAAAAAGAATCAGAAGAGTTGTCCAAGAACCAAGGACCACTTGTGGAGAGCATCAGACAGACCTGGAAATAGCAGGTACAATTGTTTCAAAGAAAACAATAAGTAATGCACTCAACTGCCATGACCTGTATGCACGCTCACCATGCAAGACTGCACTGCTAAAGAAAAAACACGTTGAAGCTTGTTTAAATTTTGCTGCACAACATTTAGACAAAATACTGGGAGAATAGTCTGGTCAGATGAGACCAAAATTGAACTCTTTGAATGCCATAATACACACCATGTTTGGAGGTCAAATGGCATTGCACATCACCCCAGAAACACCATCCCAACAGTAAAGCATGGAGGTGAGAACATCAAGGTGTGGGGCTGTTTTTCAGCATATGGTACTGGCAAACTTAAGATCATTGAAGGAAGGATGAATGGAAAAATGTAACAAGTCATTCTTGATAAAAATCTACTGTCATCTACCAGAATGATTAAGATGAAACAAAGGTGGACGTTTCAGCAAGACAATTACCTCAAACACATAGCCAAGGAAATTCTCAATTGGTTTCAAAGAAAGAAAATAAAGCTGCTAGAATGGCCTAGCCAATCACCTGACTTGAATCCAATAGAAAATGTATGGAAAGAACTAAAGATCAGACTTCATAGATGAAGCCCACGTAACCTCCAAGATTTGAAGACTATTTGTGTGGAAGAATGGGCCAAAAATCAAACCCAAGCAATGCGTGTGACTAGTTTCTCCATACAGGAGGCATCTTGAAGCGGTCATTACCAACAAAGGGTTTTGTACAAAGTATTAAATAAATTTCAGTTGGCGCGTTCAATACTTTTTTTCCTTATGTCATTCCATTTTATTACACAACTTCATTTCTGAACTTATTTGATTTCTTTGTATATGAAATGCATGGGCTGTTACCGATGTGGTGACAATTTCATGTCAATACCACCTTTCGAAATATAGTTACTGAGAGAAATGGTGATGTGTGTGTTCTCTATCTAGCCATACATACATTTGTCAAAGAATGGGTCACTTGTGAAATTAACAGGTGCACTAGATGGGCAACACTGAGACTACCCCAAAAACAGGAATGGTTTTACAGGTGCAGGCAACTGACACTTTTCCCCAACTCATCTTTTCTGACTATGTCAGTAGTTTTGCATTTGGCTAGGGTCAGTGTCACCACTGGTAGCATGAGGAGATACCTGGACCATACAGAGGTTGCACAAGCAGTCCAACTCCAAGATGGCACATCAATACGTGCCATTGCCAGGTTTGCTGCGGCTCACAGCAGTCTCAAGAGAATGGAGGAGATTCCAGGAGACAGGCAGTTACTCTAGGAGAGCTGGGCAGGATTGTAGAAGGTCCTTAACCATCAGCAGGACCGGTATCTGCTCCTTTGTGCAAGGAGGAACAGGATGAGCACTGCCAGAG